ATTGCTTAATTTGTTCTTAAATGTCGCTTAGTTTGTTGTAAAATATCGCTTTTGCTTAGTATTAAATGACCGAAAACCTGAGTAACTTTCGGCTGGATGGCCGAAAGTCTAAATCAATTTCGGCCGAAACCGAAGAAAAACCGAAAGTTAACTTTTCTCTTTCGGCCGAAACCAAAATTAAGCCGAAATTTAACTTTCCAATTTCGGCCGAAACCGAAACTTGGCCGAAAGTGATAAAATGGCCACTTTCGGCGCCGAAACCGAAGCCGAAATTCGGTCGGCCTCTAAGCTGGACTATGATGGTAATTTGGACTATGATTGTAAGTTGGACTGTGATGGTACGTTTGATTATGATGGTAAGTTGGACTTTGATGGTAAGTTGGACTATTATGGTAATTTTGACTTTGATGGTATGTTGGATTATGGTGTAGCTGGACTTTGATGGTAATTTGGACTATGGTGGTAAGTTGGACTGTAATGGTAAGTTGAACTATGATGGTAAGTTGGACTGTGATGGTAAGTTGAACTGTGATGGTAAGTTGGACTATGATGGGAAGTTAGACTATGGTGGTAGCTGGACAATGATGGTAGCTGGACAATGAAGGTAATTTTTACTATGATGGTAAGTTGGACTGTGATGGTAAGTTGGACGGTGATGGTAAGTTTACATTTGATTTAATTTTAACGTTGGTGCTATGTTGGATTCTGGTGGTAAGTTGAATACCAATGGTCAGGTGGACTATGGTGGTAATTTGGTCTATGATGGTAATTTGATTATAAGTTGAAGTTTGGTGGTAAGATGTAAATCTATGGTAAGCTTGACCTTGATGGTAAGTTTGAATAAGAAGGTAAGCTAATAAAAACAGCTGTAAGTCTACACAGATGTCATTTTTCCGTGTATTACTAATTGCAACAATTGATCTTTCTTTTGAAAATAGACAATGGCCTTTATCTACTATGAGCACTTGTGACCTTTCTTTAAAAAAAAATAAATCTTCATGCAAGCTGTGAACCTCCCAGAAATACACATAAACCTTTTAGTATCTTTAAAGGTCACAAGTCACAATATGTCCGTTTAGGATTAAAGAATCTTTTTTTTTTTTTTAACAGTACGTTAAACTTTGTCCATAATCTTGTTTTCATTCCTATATTAATTAAACAACTATCGTCTGGTCTTGTGTTGATTCCCTCCCAGCTGTTTGTGAAACTCCTAAATGCGAGAAGTCTGGCCAAGTGTTCCCCAACTGCCAAGACTGCTCCAGTTATCTAAAGTGCTCGGCAGCGGGCGGCTTGAAGAAGCGCGTCCCTTGTCCGTCTGGTCAGTATTTCGACGCCCAGTCCAAGAGGTGTGGCAGATCATCCTCGAGCTGTCCGTAAGTGTTGACGATCCAGGGATTTTTTTAGCGAGCTTAAATTAATTCACGGCTACGAATTTGAGCTTCTCGCTTTAACGATGTTTTTACTGTGTAGCATACGATTATAATTCTGTCGGAATGTTTGTATGGCTGTGACGCTGTGCTCGATAGGCGCGCAAAATAGAACCCACAGAACTTAGCGCTAATTGGGATTCTTATGAAGTGCGGTTCCTTGAATGCATGCTTTGTCAAGTAACTGTAGTAGATGGGGAGTTCACGCACTGCCACTGTCATTTTTTTAACGGGCTATTTATAGTTTAATCAGCTTTGTTTTACGCTTCGGTTTTGCACAATAGATCATTGCTTGTTTTTTTTTTGTTTTTTTTACAGACGTCCATCTGTCGCGAAGTTTCCTGAGATTCGAGGATGGGGCAATCAGAACTCCCCTCCTTCCTCCCCACCTTCCTCCCTTCCTTCCATACCTCCTCCTGAGTTGGACGAATACCCAGACTTCCTTGCACAAATGAGCTACAAAGGACAGCCGAGCGCCGTGGTCAGGTACGTCCCCGAGGTTGGAGAGCTCGGTGCTAACGGCAAAGTTCTTGACAAGTTCTTCAGTGAAAAAGTCGTTAAATCTGATGACAAGCGTCTGGCGACTCTGATCAAGTCTCCAGCGTTTCAGAAATTGTACGCGTACTCTCGGTTACAATAACAGACAGTTCAGATCGACAATGTGTCTGAGACCTGCATTTAATCATTGGAAGGAAGTCCATGTGTCGATACGCTGGACTGAATCCAAATACCAACATGATGGCAACTGGGCCTATTTCGTAATTAAAAAAAAAAAATATTAAGAATTAAAACAATTTTTTTTTTCAATTTTATTTCAATCATCGTGGACAGTGGACAGTGGACACACTTGGTTTAATTCTGTGTTAGGGTTTTTAAATTTTTTTATTAAAACGCTCAAAATATATAAACAGAGTTTTGTCATTTAAAGAAAAAAATATTTAAGATTCTTTATTTTGTTACTTTCTGTTCCTTTTAAACTTTAACATGGTTAGTCCCCACACTTTTGCCTAACTAAATGCATACGCATGATATTACACTATAAGAAGCTCTTATATTTAGTCCGTAGCTGACCCCCCACCCCCGACTCTAATCCCCCCTCTTCCACCCGACCCCTTATCCACCCACAATCCTCATCACCCAAAATCCTCATCCACCCACAATCCTCATACACCCACAATCCTCATACACCCACACGCCTCATCCACCCACAATCCTCATCCACCCACAATCCTCATACACCCACAATCCTCATCCACCCACAATACTCATCCACCCACAATCCTCATACACCCACAATCCTCATCCACCCACAATCCTCTTACACCCACAATCCCCTTACACCCACAATCCTCATACACCCACCCTCTTCTTCCACCTAACGCCTGTTCCACCCACCCCATCCTCTTCCATCTCCCTTATTAGATAACATATGTCCATTTTAATAAGGTAAGTGAAAATAATGAGAATGTCAAATAAAGGATTTGATTAATCGTGTTATAACGGCAAATGATTTTTTAAAAGCCAAATCGGAAGGATGCTAAGATGTTTCCCAAACGGATTTGATAGACGCTATAAGCCCATGGGCATTTGAACCTGTTTAGCCTTCCTCAAATAGTCTCTAAACCAGATAATTAATGTGCACCCAATTTATCGTCATATTCCGCCTATTTTAATTATTTTTAACAGTTAATTGTAAAAGTACACGTGCAATATTATCACGCATTAGTTTAAATTAGTAAAACGCTAAGCAGTAATTACAGCAGAACTTACATTAGAACATTAGAAATGAACAATAGACCTTGCGAATGAAATTTCAATCAGGCTTGCATTAGTAAATCTCACCTGAAGTAACACGAGATGCCCCTGTCTTCATTGGCTGAGAACCGCGGCGGCTGTGCTAAGCGTTTGTCACGTGAGTCTATGTGGATGTCGGGATCCGCCCACAACATGTCCGTCATCAAACCCGCCTTAGGTGGTTCGCGGACTCTGTCAATCTACAATAATGGTTGGAAGAGTTAGGGGAAACGGAAGTCAAGGTCTATCACTCTACAGTATCGTTGGAAGAGCTAAGGGAACAGGAAGTCAAGAGTTATTTGGTTTTCATACCACTTAAGAGAAGAGAGAGGTTTTGTTTCAGAACTCATCTTCTCTCTTGGATCCACACGTGATCATAGTGCGTCACGGAAACATGAAGGGCATAACACGATTTCAGTAATGTAGGCTGAGTAGGCGGCCTAGCAGCACTAGAATGTTGAAATGTACACCAAGCCGAATTGTTCTCTAATTAAGAAAGTAAGAGCTTTTTTATTTTTTAAAACAATTTCAAAGTTGTTCCCATTAACACCTGTTTACGTAACTGTTTACATGGCTGTTTACACGGCTGTTTATCACCTTTTAATCTGCTTCATTTAAGCGATTTTCCTCTGATATAAAGATATCTTTCTATTTATACTTCATTTATCTAACAATATTCAACGGCTTAAATGACTAGTTTGAGGAATGCTTCATGCTTATATAAATCTCATACACACTTTAGGAGCAATGAGAATTATTAATCTAACAATAGTTTGTTAAGCCTGCATCAGTTGTTTCCAAATATACTTTCAAATCGGCAGCGAATACAAGATGGCGGCATCTAAGGAATGACGTCGAGCTGCATATCAGCCCTGATTTTCGTGCCTGATCTTCCCGTTAGCCCACATTCACATCAACTCAAAAGCGTGCCCGATTGCCCTATTAGCCCTGTTGCCCTACCAACCCAACAAACGTCCCTCGATTTCCCCTTTAGCACAGATCGGTATTTTTATTTCAGGCTGGACACATAGATTTGATTCACTATTTGGGCTACTTATAAAGTTATTTTGTTTGTCGACCATGATGCAACGCACGGGAACTCGAGCTGATTATGACGACATCCAATGTTTGGAGGCACTGCGAACATCGAAAACAACAGTAGGTTCAAGTAAAGTACGCTTCCCGCCATTTTATTTTTCGGTGGGGTTTTTTTGTTTGTTTTTTTGGTGATGTGAAATCTTGGTAAGCATGGTGATTCTTAATGGATGGCATTCAACTTGAATAATGTATTGATAGTTTTAACAGCTGGGGGGAGGGGGTATAGAAAAAAAAAGGGGAGGGGGGCGTAGGCGACAGGGTTGCTGATCCCCAGTATAACTTTATAAATAAATGTTGTTTTTTTAAATTATCCAGTATAAAGTATACAATTTTGATTTAGGGTACAAGCACGAGCATCTTGTGTAAGGGAATCTGAAACAGACTACACAGCCCCGCACAACAAATAATCTTCTTGCCTTGACCATTTAGCCAGGGTTGGATGTCAAAATCACATAATACTTATTTTATTTTTTAGATTTTTGATTTCTAATTCTTCTTATTGTGATATTAACCATTTCACTGGCGTTTCCAAATTTTATACAAAATTAAGAATTTAAGATAGTCCATATATATATATATATTTATATATATATATATATATATATATATTNTATATATATTGTTTAAAGTTGCAATGAGAGAGTTACGTTTATAGATCGATACAACTGGACGTCCGGCATGCACCTTAAAAACATCTTGTAAAGTTTGAAGCTCCGGGGACAGGCCGCCGTGGAGACACAGGACGTTGTCGTTGAGGACTGCGGCCAAGGGAAGATGGTCGAAGGCAGCCATGATCCAGTCATAGACCCGGAGGTCATACTTCGCCTCACCTGCGATAGTCATACACCTTAAAGTGGCACGAATGTTGTAGATTTAAGAGGTATGCTGTTAGTTTTGTAAAAAGAACTCATCTGTCTTTGTTCTGTAAGTCGCTGAAATATGAAGGGCATAAAACGATTTCAACAATGGTCGCTGAGTGGGCGGCCTATCAGCAATAAAATGTTGAAATGTACACCAAGCCAACTTGTTCTTTAATTAAGAAAGTAAGAGCTTTTTCTTTCTTTCTTTTTAACAAACAATTCCAAAGTTGTTCTAAAGAGGTATGTATGTATGTATGTATGTATGTATGTATGTATGTATGTATGTATGTATGTATGTATGTATGTATGTATGTATGTATGTATGTATGTATGTATGTATGTATGTATGTATGTATGTATGTATGTATGTATGTATGTATGTATGTATGTATGTATGTATGTATGTATGTATGTATGTATGTATGTATGTATGTATGTGTGTATGTATGTATGTATGTATGTATGTATGACATCTTTCCGTCTGCGGGAGACGATAGATTATCTTTATTGCTTGCAGCTCTTGGTGTGGCTGGTGGGACCTATCCTCGAATGGCAGGCTCTGTTACATTTCCCACACACGAATGCGGTGGAGCAGTATTTACCGGAAGGAAGGCCGGTAAAGAGGTATACTCTTAGTTTAAATGCAATGTTATAGATCCAAGAATTGCAACAACACTGTTTTAATAATCAAGATTTTTCATATAATATTATAAATTCAAGAATTGCTCTAACACTGTTGAATCATTGCGGGGTTTAACTACTTTGTTATAGATTCAAAAGTTGGACTTACATTCCCGTTGAAATTGTAGTCTGCCGATCAGACGACTGTCTTGGTTGCCACGTAGTAAATATGTCTCCCTCGGGTTGGCGATCTTCATGGCAAATAAGTATACAACAGTCTGCGGAATAAAGTCAATCTTCTATCACACTCGGCTGGCAACCTACGGAACGCGGTGCTATCACACTCGGCTGGCAACCTACGGAACGCGGTGCGATTTCAAATGACACGCAGTAGACCCCTCAAAAATGACTTTAAAAAAAGAACCGAAATAGACACCCACCCCATCCCCTTCCCCCCAAAAATGACATTAAAATGCGTCATATAGGAAGACTTATAGTATTAATATTACCAAAAGTTTTCCCACCCCTGCTCTGTCATCTCATTGCTTGATGTGACTATTTACACCACTGTCAGTCACTATTTACACACATGTTTTTTAAACAAAAAGTCTTACTTCGAGACCGAACATTCCGTTATGAATGTAGGAGCCAAGAAAAAGATGGCCGTCTCCTCCGCTAGTCATGGGCGCATCCATGATGGTCAGCAAGTCGTAAAAGTGGCCATGGAGAGCTCCAATAACTGTAACGGAAATACAACTTTGATAAGAGCCTGTTTGATTGTCGTCACTACAATGTATCTGTACGTGTTAAGTTTGATTGATGGGGGAAAAGGAAACAATTGTTTTTAGAAAGGGGTTTAAAAACATCGGATTTTATAACTCGATTAACTTTTATAGTCAATCAAATTGTTCAAACTAATCATTTCAATTGATAGACAACACCCCCCCCCCTTTTTTTTTTCCAAACACCTGGCAACATTGCAGCAAAGGTTATTATTAATAATGGTATATCTCCATTTTATACGTTCGATTTATAAAAATTGAAAATAAAATAAAATTACAGGCCTACTAAATTCATTTTTAAAATTACCGCTGGATTTGATAACTTGATTTTAGGAAAAAATAAGATAAATTCTTGAGCTATTAAATTGTAATAATGTGTCATCAATCTTTTTAATGAATAATCAAAAATGTTCTAAAAAAAATTAAACCTTAACTTTTTTGCATTACTAATATTCATAGTGAACACCCGAATTAGACATCCATACAATGACTGGCATGACCCACATTAAAAGAAATTACCAAGTCCAAGGTCTAGGATGGGGGGGGGGGGGGGTTAACTCCCCCCGGGGGGGGCGAAGAGACGCCCCTGGGACTGTTTATTGGAATGGTACAAACACAGCACATCTTCTAGTTGAATATTGCCAACATAATACCCACCTTTAAAACATCCATTTAAAACCAGCAGGTTTTCTTCTGACAAAAAGATATCGGAAGCTCTTTGGATGATCTGTCGTAGAGCATTTATTTCAAGACGACCTTCACCTTCTAAGTGTTTCCTGAGCACACTGAGGTCAGGGACGTCATTTCCACCAAAAAGTTCTTCAACCGTTAAAATGTTAACCAAAGGATAAGGCACATCTGTATTTTAATCAAACAACACGCATTACAGTTTTAAAAACCACTTACACCAACAAGGGTACATATCAAAATAGCGAGTATTCTGATCAGGATCATGCCTGGGGACTTCAGCTGCCTATGGATATGAGGTGTGGACTGGGTACGTCCCACCCACCAACACTAAAAAGTATTTGAAGTTGATGTCCCAAGGTAGTCGTTTCACCATGCCCCACCCCTTCAACCCAAACCCTCCCCCCTCACCAATTTTTTAAACAAAATATATAAAAGAATAAAATTAAAATAAATAAATACATTTGCTAGGGATAAAGACAACAAGCAACCCCTCTCAAAATATGATAGGTAATCCCCCCCCCCCCAAAAAAAATAAAAAAAAAAAAATAAAAAAAAAAAATACATTTGCTAGGGATAAAAAACACAAGACACCCCCCTCAAAATATTATAGGTAAACCCCCCCCCCCCCGGTCGAGATGGTGTGTGTGAAATTTAGGGTTGCTATGCTACCCAAATCCTATGAAAGAAAGCCCAGAAAACGCATCCTCTTCTGAACAATATTTAGAGGCCCCCACTTGGAGTGAATAGCGAAAACAGTAAGCATGAGTGGTGCAGAGGTAGTCTGGTGGCTCTGTCCACATTTCTCTTTAGACTTCGAGCAATTATTATACTTATTTCATGAGAGCAACAATGAGTTTTCCATTTAACTACATCGCTGTCCACAACCCACTATTTTTTATATTGGAATTGATTTTGTAGTCGTCTCGTGGGCACTGAAATGTGTATACCAATATTAGAGCTACCAAAGGAGATGGGGGACTGGCACAAACACCATGTAAACCGTTTTATAATCTTTATCAAAATCTCAAATAATAGTAAAAATATCAGAAATCTTCCAACATTGAAACAAAGGATAGAAAAATACGATACGCTATATAGCTTAACCTTTCATTATTCGTTTCTGCATTTCTTTTCACAGTGATGATTTCCAACATTCATTAAAAACAAAATTGTTCTTTACATAAAATCTTCGCCACTACGAAAGCCAAGACATACTTTGTTAATTTGCAATGAATGTGGTTATTTAAAACGAAGAACTTTATTAGACTTTAAAAAAGTGGAGCCGGATTTCGGAAAAAGAAAGCAGCTGATTCAAATTGTGGGATAGCTGTTTGGTGGCTGTTTGCTGTCTGAAATTAATTAACACCAAGAAGACAACTCTAAATATTTTTAAAAGAACCCGAATCCTTAAATCTTTTACTGGCTGCTCTTATGTATTCATTGTAGAATCTATTAAGAGTATTTGCATTTTAAATTGAAGCAGCAGATACAGTAACAATTGAAATTTGACTAGACATTCTGTTCGCAAAATGAGTTCCTTTGAAGTGCAATATCCGTTCAACTTCGAGAGTGAGACTTACTGGTAGACCCGATGTAAAGGAGAGATGTAAATGGTGCACAACTTGAAACCTGGCGAAGAACAGTGAGTAAATATTTAGAAGTTTTTGTTTGAAAGTTTTATGGCAAGATAATCTTAAGCAATTAGAAAAGAAAAAAAAAACCAATAATTCTACCATAATGGACAGTTAAAATTGGTACGATATCTACAAAAGAGAGAAAGGTGAACAGCTCAAAGATATTTGGATGTTGTTGGAGAGAATAGGGTGGCGGGAGAGTCCTACGTTCAGACAATGTGATATGGTGCTGCCCAGCAGATGGAGCAGTTTGACAGTGTACCAGCCCGGGCCTTTCAAAGGCGTAAGCCCAAGCCCCCCTCCAGAATACGCGATTTAGTTAGTTTGGAGAAAGTATCTGAACTTATGATCAACAAATCAGGCTGGACTCCGGAGGGGAAGACATCCCATGGAGCTAGTCATCCGTTTTGTAAGGACAGTGGCAGATGAGCTCCAAATTATAAATGATACGTTGTCAGTTTCTTTCGACCATTAGCAGACGTACGATAAATTCAGGGGCCGTGCCTGATCTTCAAGCTAAAGCAATTAAGTGACGCTGCTAATGTGTACACTTGGATCTTTTTTTTTTTTAATCGAGCCGTACCAATTGCACAAGAAATGTAATTTGGAACTTATGGGCAAAATGTGCAACAATAATATAATCTGTTGCAATTTTGCGACATGATCTGAATAGAATAGAATCACATAGACCTACTGCAAATTGGAAAAATATTGTCAAAATGGTTAAAACGGGCAATTCAATTTTCGCAAATGATTTGGGAGAACCCCAACTAAAGAATGATACCATTCTGATAATCTTTGGGGAAAGACTACAGTGGGACAATAAGCCAACGTACGTGTGTGGGAGGCTTGAACAGAAAATCTAGCTTCACAACCCTATGTGAAACGTTTTATTTTTGGATATATTTTATTACATTTAAAATACATTTTTATAAGCTTAACCGTGTCATAAAATACTGAAATTTTGAGAGTACGGTAATCCGTTCGAATACAGAAACAAAAAGTTAGCCGAGAGAATAAATCTGAAACATTCATTGTAAAAGATCGCCACTATATTTCTAAAATAGTATTCATATTATTATTTTAAAATTATGGTTAATGGAGATTTTTAAAAGTATAGGGTCTATTTTAAAATCCTTTACATTAACTTCGTTTTTTGTCCAATTTTTAGCCCCACCTTTAATCAGTCTTTCCTGTTTTTCAAGGGCAAGATAAGAAATTCTGCAATTTGCCTGCGTTGGCGGATATGGAACGACTCCGCAAACTTCAATCTTATTATATTAATATGAATTAACGATAAAAAAAAAGACTGCATTCAAAAAAAATGTTCCTTATTTTCTTTAAACACAACAAATTCTTCTTTTAAATAAATTTCTAGTCTATTAGGTCTAGTTTATGCATTTAGATGCACACTAAGTTTGATAATAACAATTCCCTTACCAAAATCAGTTGCTACAATCACATAAATAAATCACTTGCAAATGCATAAACGCAAACAAAAACGCATTTAAATGATTTATTTAAAAAAGATTTGTTTTTAGTGGGTTGTTGTCTTTTTGTTTTTTTTGTTTTTTAAAATAAAGAAAGATAAGTCAACTGGACCACCGTGTGTCAAAACATTTTAAACTGCTACTGCCTGTAACTCTGTGACACATCTGTCTTTTGCCTTCTTTCTTTCCATTACAAGACTCGGTTAAAGTTTCATCTGTAGCTGTGCTAAAGCCGCTAAAGCACCATGTCAGTTGAAATATCTCCTATAAACAATGGGTCCACATTACTTTCTATATACATCGTCGATGCTTTTACAGACGTGCCCTTTTCTGGAAACCCAGCTGCAGTTTGCTTAGTATTACCCGGACAGGTGAGTTGTTATTGTTACTTAGACTTATTAGACTTAGACTTAGAGTTACTAGTTAAATTTACTTATTTAGTACTAGTACTAGTAGTAGTAGACTAGTAGTAGTTTATAATCCCAAATTAGGGGGCCATTCATAAATGACGTCATGCCCTATATGGCAGGCCTGCAAAACTCAAAATATAAACTGTATGAAAAAATTGTGCAAACCATAAAATACTTAATGAAAAACTTGTGCGAGCGGAAAGATGATAGGACAGGGATGAAAGCTATTAAGATAATATAATAATAATAATTAAGAATATTTGGTTACTTCGCAAGCCCCTAGGTGGGTGCTGATGGGCCGCATGCGGCCTGTGGGCTGTATGTTGTGCAGGCCTGGACTAGGGGAAGAGGGGGGTCACTTTTTTGTGATGAGGGGGTGGAGGGCCTTGAGTAATGTGAAAACACTTGAAAAGCGGAATATTATAGTAAAAAAAACTGCACTTAATAACCCTAAATTACATACATTTTTAACATTAATCTCTTATACAACAATTTTAATTATTTTATTTTAAAATTATGATCAGTGAATCAATACAGGTATGCAAGGCTCCAAAAATTGCGTGACCACCCCCGATCCATTTTACAAGCCACCACTGTGGAGGAAAAAATGGGTAGTGTTATTGGCAGTCGAGAGAATTTATGTCAAAATGTGGAGACAGGAGTCATAGAATTAGTTTCTTCTTTCTCTTTTGAGTATCTAGCTCCATTTGTTTAAGGTTTAATTGGAGCTCCATACTAGGATCCTTTGGTTGTGTGACTGAGGCCAGTTCATCCTCAGACAGCATAGCCTCATTCACTAAGTGGATGAGGATCCCATCTCATGTGGTCTTTTTAAATGCAGAATAAGCTACACTTATTCCTAAATCTTTGGCAAAGGAAAATAGATCCTTTTTATAACATTTGTTAACATCAAAATCCATTTTGACACAAGCAAAATATCACTAAGTTTTATAAATGTTCAAGCTTAATGAACACACTTATAAAAATTTAATTTAAAAAATTGTAACTAGCTCTGTTATGGTATTGTAAAATGGTATCTTAAACTCAGTTTAGTGTGAGTATATTACAGAAAAAGGTGGGTTGAATTCACAGATACACACTCAATTTGTTATTGGTGGTAATAATGAAAAGTTTATAGATTCAAATATTTCAGGATGAGCACCCAATTTGTTACATACTGCTATAATGTCTAGAGAATTTAATGTCTTATTTGAGTATATGGCTCGTGACAAACAGTACATAACAAAGGACAATACCATTAATTAAATACAGTAAGAAAGAACAATACCCAAACTGGGGCTAATTACAAATAATGATTTATTAAGTTAACTTTACAATACAAAATCAAATAGAATAAAATAAATCTGTTCACTTACAATACAGCAATACCGGTATCAGTATAAGATGTTGGGAAGATGCACACACACACATAAATATAATGTACAATATCTATGGTCTGTGCAGTATGTAAATCTATTAGTCTGGCTTCCACCTTTTATCGTCATCGCAAACTCTGTCTCTCTCTTTGTCTTGCAGTCTCTATCTAGCATTAGACACTGTCGATCTAATTATTTATAGTCTTTCACAGAGACTTTTCCGGAAAGGGGTTATGCATTGTATCTGTAGTTACCTCAACCTGTCTCGTAAGTTCTCAAAAATTCTACTATAGACTGTTTTTACAATTAGTCAAGGACAAGGGAGAGAATATGCAATTAAACCACACCCATTGTCGCCAAACTTGGGGTCACTCAGAGTTCATTCACGAGATGCATGAAAAACATGACGTAAACACACTGTAAACAAGGCAAGCTTTTACCCTGACAGTAAACCATTCTCTAGGCTCCATACAGCTGTAGTATTTTTATATTTTTAAAAATGTTTTGAACTTTTCATCAAAGTGCCTAAAATTATAATTTATTAATGTGTTCTTTAGTGTGCATAGCAGTGAATGATAGCTTATGATTTATTTTAACTTAAACTTTTTTTATGGTTGGTAGGTGAAGGTGATCTTTCTTGTAATCAAATGACTGTTGAGCTATCTCCATTGATGTGAAGAAAAGCACTATTAGTAGCATTTGTTACCTATATATAGTGACTAGTAAAAACTATGAATTTACTACATATGATTTAAAGAATTTTTAATTTTTTTATCATGATGATGATGACAGTGCCTAAAAAATGTCTGCTGTTGTTTCTTCAATGGCACATACCCATAATAAATGTGCTAATTTATCTTCTTTTTTTTTCCAGAATATAACTGCCAAAGAAATGCAAAAAATAGGAAATGAAATGAATCTTTCAGAAACTGCTTTTGTTTTTTTAGAAAAGGGAGATTTTCAAAGTGGTGAGATTATGATCACATTAAATTAATTAAGATTTATAAAATATTTTAAAAATTTTGTCAAATAACTAAGTTTAAAATCCAGCCAAACTATTGAGACTTATAGTCTTCTTATTCTTAAATATCTATCTTTCACCCAGCAAATACATTTGGACTAAGATGGTTTACTCCAACAACAGAAGTTGATCTCTGTGGTCATGCTACCCTGGCTGCATCCGCAGTTCTCTTCAGGGAAAAAGGTTCAAGAAAATACCAAACTTTAAATGATATTACTAAATACATTTTTGAAGATTAAAGAATATCACTAACCAAAATTGTTTTCAACTGTAAAGAATTTTTTGCAGAGCACATGTCACAGATATAAAATTAATTTTGTTGTGCTGGAAAGCCAATCATTTCTATAAACATGATGCAGAATTTGTTTTGTATGTTAATGAAGGAAGAAAGGAATAAATCATTTATTGTAGGGCATGTACAAAAATTTTTTCCTCCTGATGGAGACTTCATTGTCCTATTACTGCAAGTATGAGAATGAGTTTGGAAAGGTGTTTGGTAGTTTTAACAATTCATTAACCATGTCTTTTTGCCATTCCCAACAATGATGTTGAAGCGGTTATCATTCATTTTTAAAAGGCATTGAAGTACCCTTACAATATGTCTGACCAATAGTGTTTTAAATTTTGGACAATTTAGCATGTGACATTCTTACAGCTAGCTTTTAATTTTTAAGGCCGTCAGACATCGTGTAGAGATCCTACTGGGAAGAAGAGGAAGAAATTATAGTTTCAGTTTTCAGTTGAATATTTTTTTATAAGCAGAATTTTAAAGTATCAACATATTTATATCATAATTCATTTATTACATTTCAATCAAACAGGAAATGACTGTGACAAAATTAGCTTCTCCACAAGGAGTGGAGAACTTACTGTGTCTAGATCTGAGCAGAATCGAATAGCATTAAACTTTCCATTGAACCCACCAACACCACAGGTAATGTAAATCCTGAGCCAATGCTCAATTAATATTATATATATAATTTTAAATATATATATATTATATACACATATATATGTATAATTAATTATTATTATCTTGAACCAAAATGGGCTAATACATGTAAAAATGTTCAACCATGACTGATGTAATTTATGAAATAAATTGTAGTTCTCAAATGGGCTGGTGGGTAGTTTCACTTTCCTTGTTCACAAATGTTGGCCTGTCATTCACCTGTAGGTATTTGTTACTCTGATGAAGACTGAATCATCAACACATTTACACTAAGATAATGCAGGATTCCAACCTGGTTAAATTAGAAAAAAATATAGAAAACAAATACACATTTAATTATTCATTGCTATTTATTCTTTATGTGTTTTTGTTTAAAAAAAGAAATTATTTTAAAAAGTATAAGTCAATGCATTTTGGCAGCTAGAGTCCTTTCCTTTCTTACATTGGATTATGCCCTTATAATAAATCTTTCTCCTGGCATTTTTATGGAGGTGGGATTAGATTTTTCTTAATTACCAATTTTTCAAAAACTTTGGATCATGCATATTTCAATTTCAATTTTTTTACAGATTTTAGATGATATTAAAGGACTTTTGAAGGTGAATATTTTACCAAAACAAAACGGATAAAATTATTTAGCGGTTGATTGAAAGGTTTATTTGTTTGTTTGAAAGGACTTTGGAAGGTTAACTACACAATGGAAAAAAAATTAATAAGGCTGGGGTGGGGTGTGACCAAAATATGCACAAGCATGTAAATACTTTTATTTTCAGATCTAATAATATAATTTTGTCAACTCTGATTAAGCTTAAAACGTAGATGAAAAAGAAATCAGATTAAAAAATTTCAAATAATAGCAAAATTCACCTGTTTATAAAATGAAGAGATTTGTTTGAACTTGAATATATGCTCTACACGTGCAGATTTGCACCTCAGTACATCTCTCATCATGTAAGTCCTTAGTGTTTAATACATTGTAAACAGCTATTTGTTCTGATCATTTATTTTGGAAATTTTTATAATTTACAGACTTGTTTAAAAGATTTAACTATTATTCAAGATGTTCAGTTAAGTGCAACAGGAAAACTTCTACTGCGCCTCAAAGATTGTACTACCAGGTTTGCTTAAATGTATTTATCATTTTTTAAACATTTAGCTTTTTGCAGTAGGAAATTTTCTTTTTTACCTCATCTTTCAAGTTTATGTTGAGACATGGCTTTCTATTCTGATCATCTCATGTACTTCTTTCTTCTATGTTTGTAAGGCAGTAGTATTAAAAATGTAAGAAATAGAGCATATTTATGTTAATTCATGTTGATTTTCATTAATTTATATCTATTTTTTTTTTAAAAGACATGCTTTGGAATCAAATAAATGTGCTACTTTGACAAATTTGAGTTGTCAAGTGCATAAAGAATTTGAGTAAAACTGATTATTGTTCAACTTAATCTTCACACAATATATCAAGTTATGCCAGTCATGTATTCCTTTATAAATGAATGTTTTAGTCAATTACAAATTCAAGGCACGTTGATGTTTCTTTGTTTTTTTTATTTTTATAAATGAAATATCTTGTCAGGATATCTTCCTAAAATATTTTAAAAGACAGCTGGGGGAACTGTGTTGGGATACACTTCATTACAAATTAATGTACTAACGCCGCATAGCTGAAAATAAATTTTGAGATCTTGTTTTTTATTAATTTGTAATGATTAAATTAGGGCAAACCTGGTATATTCAGCTGAATGGCTCTTATTTTTTTTTTCCACTACTAAAGTTTTTTTTTAAATTTTTAAGATATTTTTTAATGCTAATAATACCTGTAATAATATATATTTAAATTCTGAAAAACATATAGAAATGAGTTGGAAGAAATGAAACCACTCGTCAAGGATATGGTTAATGCTGAATCAAGTGGACTGGTGAAAGGAGTGGGTCTTACAATTAAAGGATCTCCTGATAACGGATGTGTAGATAATAAAGGCCAGGTCTACGATTTCATATCAAGATACTTTGCTCCATGGTTAGGTATTGAAGAGGATCCAGTCACTGGTAATTTATATACAAACTCTTCATGACATTAGATAGTCTTCTTAGCATGTTGATTTCAATTAAGGATTTTAAATGATGATTGTATTTCCAGTTATTAGTTTTGAAACTGATAGCCGGTTGTTGGTAATCAAATTATTTTTATCATGATATAAAAATATAATTAAAAAATAAAGATTTTCTTAAAATAATAAGCCAATAGTAAATGTATTTTTATTATTATTTAATAAATTAAGTATAAAAAAAATAAAGATGCTGTATTATGCATAAAAGTGGTAGGCTTCTGGCTAATGCTTCGTATATATTTGACCATATCTTACTTTGTATCGATATCAGATGATCAATGTTAAAAATTGGTTGTAACTAATTTCTTTTTCTTTGCCTGGGAAAACTGGATGCCTCCTTATTGTTAGCGTTAATGTGCAATAGATATTAACAAGTTGGGGAACTGCAGTCTCCCATAATTTTGTCTCCTCTATTTAACGAAAACTAACATGTAAAGAGAATGCACATAAAAAATAAGCTATTTAAAGAGTCCATGCCAGTGCAAGCTACCATCTCCGTCTCTCTCCCTCCAGCCATGGATGGTACCAAGTTGTGGTATTAAAATGTAACTGATCCCTTTGCAAGCATATTAGGTAATTATCTATTACTAGGGCTAAGCCGGGGGAAATAAAGCATTAGCAAGTGACCAACCTCTCAACATGCCCAAACATCTTTTTTTATATGTTAAAAGACTTTAAAAAATAAGCGATTATTAAAACCCACTTTTTTATTTTGTAATTTGGTTTATAATTTATTTTATATAGAATTAATTACAGCAAGGGAGGAGAGTCACTTTTATCCTGTTTTCCGAGGATAAGCAAACTTGGAGAAACAAGAAACCCTAGTTGAGAGAATATAAGGATAGGCAGAAACTCAAGGATAATTAAAGTTAGGAATGAGCAGAGCAAGAGGCAGCACTCTTGCTAAGTATTTATGTAATTTTTAAATATTTTTCTTAGGAGCTTGGCACACAGTTGCAGCTGCATACTGGGCAAAGGAACTCAACAAAACAAGTTTATATGGTAAGGAATAAAAGAATTCACTGAGTTCATACAATTTTCATAAATTAATAGTCAAATTTCTTATACTAATATAATTAATTTTAATTGTACACCTTTGCCTCACACCATGCTATATTCTTTGAATAGCTCGCCAGTGCTCATCAAGAGGAGGAGATCTGTGGCTTACAGTACAGGATCAGAGACTTATTTTAAGTGGTGATGCTGTGATTAATATGCGGGGTACATTTATTTTGTAGCAGTAGAAAGGTTTGATAAACTTTGACACAGTTTTATCCAATGAACATGAAAATATTTTTAACCAGAAGAAAAAAATAAGCAGAGGCTGTAACCCTTAATTGTACATCTGGAATTGTCTAAATATCGGTAATGAGCCAGGTCATGGGCTTCTCTGCCACTCCCTGTGTAAATCACTACAAAAATTAAAGAAATACAGTTTATGACATGATCTATGCCCATTTTATAAAAATCCAGGTGATGCTGAAAATCTATTTTTAAAAAAGGAACAAATTTAAAAACTTAAGTTAAACGCAGAAGAAAGCATATTTATTATATGGTCATTGACTTTGGGAAAAACAATTTATGATTGTCAAGGTTGGTGTGGTATTAATTTAACTCGGAGAAAGTGACCTCAATCATTGGCAAGACTTATTGTCAGAACTGAATCTTGTCATCACCTTCCTGTAAATGTTAAGAATATATTTTAAAATGTTTTTGTAAGCATCAGGATTTTGTGAATGGTGTTTAAGAAAGTGCACTGAGAACAGTGCAACAAGTCAACAAGGAAATGTCCTCAATGTTCTGAAGCACAGGTACAAATGAATTTTTTTTCTGGAAAACCTCTCAAATGTAGAATCACAGTACTGACTATCGACCAGCGCAAGAGCATACTTTGAGGCAGTTGGTGAGGATTTATGTGATCATTATCATTGGTTCAAGACTTATTGTAGGGAACTAAGTAACAAAAATCTGAGCCGTCCATTTTTGATGAGATGGTTATTTAAAATGTTACTCTCCTTATTTGGACCATGTCATTGGTCTGACACCTTTGTTAACTGCGATGCTGATATATGCACACTAAAGAAAGTAATGTCACAAAGGGACAGCCGAAAGGTAAAGAGAGGGTTCACCTGTACCTGCCAATTTTAGACACATAAGCTATCTGCTACAGCTCAGTTGAACTGTGAATAAAAGCTGTTGGTGAGAATATTTATCCATGTACTGAAAATTAATATACACAAAGATATCAAAACACATTTCCATTTAAGATAAGATATTTTTATTGCTCCAAATAAATGGAAACATTTTTTTTTTTCATTCATTGTACATACTTTTTTCAGTCCTGAAAAAGCTTGTTTGAGCTTTCCGTTGTTCCTTAAAATTAGTTTACACAGGACATTCAGCGTGTAATTATGCTGTAAAATAACTGTTTAGTTCTTGAGTGAGAACAAAGTCTTGGATTTTTGTTAGACGGAATTCTCGTTTTTCCTCTCCCAGATCAGGGACACTTCTTTTGTCTGTAGCCGATTTATCTTTGAAAGGTTGTTTTGATCTTGCCGTCTGTTTACAAGATGACATATTAATTTTTTCCAATTTGGCAGATATGGATTTGTCTTGGTTTATGGGAACAATGTCCAAAAAATCCATGTAACCACTGTTCCTTGCGATAAAAAACATAAGATTATCAGTCGAAGGAGATAAAACACATACAACACGCCTTGATTCCAAAGAAAACTTTGTAAAAACCTCTAAACTATTAGTATTACGAAAGCTGAAAAAATATGCGCAGATGAATCTTATCTTAATCCTCACAGTAAATGCATGCGTGGTAGCCCGTTAGTTATAATTCAAGCTGAACCAAGCCATCAAGAATTTTATAAAAACTCTCTACAATTGAGTTTGTCAGTGCATTTTCTGGTAAATTGTCATAGATTTTTTTTCTATTGCAAAATATACAAAATAAGTTTTTACAATTGAATGTAAGACAATGAGAAATGTTGTGTTTCTGTCCCATTTATTTGATTTATACAAGTTATTGAGTTTTAATGTCTCTCCTTGAATTTGGAAAAGCTGACTAAGTGAACATGTAGAGAGTTACAGCATCAAAGTGTTACATTAAAGAGAACAATTTTAGTTGTACAGAATTCTTCACAATGTCTAAGCAGAATATAAATTAAAAAAGACACAGATAAGCTTAATTTTTAAATGAATGGAACTGGGGCATAATTATAAAAATATTATAATCGTCTCAATAATTGAACAGAGAGTGGTAAAATTTTGGTTGATTCATTTTATGTGTTGACGGTACACTCACCTGTTAAACTAAAATATTAACATATTTATGATGAATACATATCATTATGAAGCTGTTGTTGATGAGAAAAAAAATCAATCTCTGAGACTATTATCTTTACGTAGAGGCTTATTTGTTCTAGATTTTTTTAAAGCTTGATAACCTCAATTTTCTATTGAAAATGATCATTCTCTTTAGAAATTGATGTTTTGTTAGGTTTAATGTTTGATGCCATAAAACTTATTGAGGATGCCAAGTGTGTGTAGAGTGGTGCTTGTCTGCATCACAATAACAAGGAAATACCAGAATCTATTACTCAGTATTACTCCTTATTTGATTGTTTACCTGTTATTTTTCTCTTTAATTTTTACAAATGTTGTTTATTTTATGATGGTAACAATTATTGAATAGTGCCCTTTGTGTTATTTATTCCATTAAAAATTAAAATCCTAGTTTTATGGTGGGCAGAAGAAAGGCTTATGTTGAAGCCAAAGTTTTCATTTATATTTTTTTCTGTCTTTAACTTTAATAAAAATCCTACTCAGTAAATTTTAACTTTTAATTATTAATGTACTTTTATTTTTACTTTTGAAAATGTGCCTTATTCTTAAAATTACAAAAGTTTGTTAGTTTGTAAGGGGGCTTTTTATGATTATATAAATAGGGCCTACATCTTCAAATCCAGTTCAGCAATGTATATTACAAAGGCATGGTAATTTTAATTAAAAAATTGAAATTCTTTTCAAAAATGAAATGTTTCAATAAAAACTTGTCAAAATTCCTAGGAGATTTTGGAAAATGATGAAACAAAATATGGGAAAACCTGAAAAAGGGACGCAACAAAACAATGATCATGTCGGCAAGAAGACTTCTTCAGCAAACAAACAACAATAAAAACAATATAAAATAAAAATAAACACTTGGCTGCAATTTAGTATCTGAGAGAACAGCAAGAAGAATGTGATAGAAATATGTAGATGAAAGAGTTAATACAGGGGAAATGGGACAGAAGAGATGAAAAGTAAATCCACAGTGATTGGTGGTAACAAGAGGGGGCGGAGAAAAGCTTCAACAAGTGAATGAGAACATGACATTCATGCCATGTGGTTTCAGGTTCCTTAAGTCTGGATCAGTTTGTTTTCCAAATTCACCAGGTTTTTTTTTACAATACACAATGGTGGTGATAACAAATTACTCTGAAGCCATTGTGGTCGCCTCTATTGACAGATTTGAGATGGGACACGGCTTATCTTGCCCAATATTATGGAGGCGTTCAGTATGTCTGTCTGAGAGGCGGTGTCCAGTCTCACCTAGACACGCCAGAGCCTGGACACCGCCTCTTGGCCCTTGATTGGGAATTGGATGCGGCTATTCGGACCCAGGTCCGAGAAGTGAGAGTTTGGGTTTATTAAAAAATATTTTAAAAATATTGTAGGGTTTGCCAGACAAAATTTGTTTATCAAATGAAAGATAATTGAATGGACTATATGTTTGTAAAATTTCTTCTTAAGTTTAACTAAAATAAACTACCACAAATGACATCTGAATAGCATGTAAAATGGTACTGGAAACGCATCGCCGCTATTCGCTATAAGTCCCATTAGACTTATGCTATTCGGATGTCATTTGTGGTAGTTTATTTTAGTTAAACTTAAGAACTAATTTTACAAACATATAGTCCATTCAATTATCTTTCATTTGATAAAAAATTTTGTCTTACAACCTAATAATAATACGTTTATTAAAATTTTAATCCCAACCTCTAACTCAGGGGTCGGGAACCTTTTTGTCTCAAAGAGCCATGGGCACCACATATTTTGAAAAGTAAATCTCTGAGAGCCATACATTATGTTAAAAACTTAAAATTCAAGTAAAATATGTCATTTGTGTAATTTCAACACTAAAAATGCAATAATTAGGTCTCTGAATTCTTTTTAGTAACATTGTTATGCTGTTGCTAATCAATGAGTATTTCTTACCATTAATGTGATTTTTTTTATATAATCGAACCAGATGCAGGCATCAATAGAGCCACATCTGGCTCGCGAGCCATAGGTTCCCGACCTCTGCTCTAACTTCTCGGACCCTGGTCCAAATAGCCACTTCGTTTGGGATTAGCTCTGGGCTACATTTAGCTCTTGCTCACGTCCACAATATATAAGCCTATTAATTATTACTAGATATAGCCCGTCAAACATTGGCGACAGCAATGCGTGAACTCCCCACCTACTAAAGTCACTTGACAAAACATGAACTCAAGTAACGCACATTAAGAATACCAATATTTGCTCCTATATATAAGAGATAATATAGAAGAACAAACTTTTTAAAGCTCCTTTTTATGATTACTAGCAATAAGTAATATTTTTAAAACTGGGTGGTTTTGGGAGGGAGGGAGGTGGGGGGGGGGGCTAGGAAATTGTGACAAGGCCAAGGGTTGGAGGTAAATGCCATATGTGACGTCACACATTTTTGAAAATCATATAATAAATTTAAATAAAGCTTTAAATTGACAGTGATGTTTAACATTCTGTTGTGATGGGTGTATTCTGACAGACGATTTCATTTTTTTAATTTTATAAAGTGAATAGTGAAGTTTGTATTAGATAAAATTTTAATTAGGCTACCTGTTAATCATAATGTTTTAACAGTTTATTTCGAAAGCGTGTCGTACTTTTTTTCATTTTTTTTTTTTGGGGGGGGTGGGGGTTGATATTGTGACCCCGGGGAGTGGGGGTAAAATTGTCACACACGAGTCAAAATTGTTATAAGTTGTAGGCCTACACTTTTTCTTAGGTTTCTCTAGGTTCCGAGATTTGTGACAGTTTGTAACATGGGGAGAGTGGTAAAAATGGTAAAAAATAGCGTGACGTACTTTATGGACAGCCCCTAAGACACCCCCCCCCCACCCCTGCCGTCTGAAACTCATTATTTTCATCAATAAAATACCACCAAAGCCCATTATGGCGTTCTCAGTTGTCTGGTGCCCGGGGACATCTGTCCCCATATGCCCTCTTAGCAACACCTCTGCACTTGGATTTTTAATCCGGCACAGCTATATACTAAATATTATAAATTATCATGAATTTAATTTTAATCAATGTATATGAATAGCAGCCTATGAGTATGTTAGAAAAGGGTCGGGGTGAAATGAACGAAAAGACACTGATTTTAAACACATTTTTAGAAATAGGCCTACATTTTTTGTTCTAATATACAAATATTTATATCATACAAATACAGAGACTGGTGTATTTATTTTTAAGGTTTTTGAAAACAAAAATAGAATCTAATAATTCATATAGTACCAAGACACTAAAACGTAAAACCCGCGGTTCAATCTATTTTAAGTTTTCTTTTTATAGTAAATAACGTCATTTTGGCATGGTTTCAAACTTTCTGATGCAATATATTCTATGTCAACACAGCATGCGAAAAGTAGTTCCTAGAAGTATTTCATTTTATTGTCTTTGAAATGAAATGGTTAAATAATTAATAGATTTTATGTAATTGCTTCTTTAGATTTTATTGTTAAAAATATTTAAATTTAAAAACCGCAGTTGTTACGCTCACTCATCATAATGTATGAATTTATGACCTTGAAAGGCGTTATTCTTCAGGTTTTACCCTGGACAAATCCGCCATTTACAGCTGCCACGTTCAAGAAGATAAGTGAAATAAGCTAAATGACAATCATGTCAGCTTAAATTGCCCTACGACTTTCGCCCACCGGGGCTCAGTGACAACATGGCGTAAGTTCATTTATATCACTATCTAATCGCTTTAATTTGGGCCCCTGCTTAGATATGTAACAGTTTTTAGGCCACATTATTAGGTCATTTAGGCCCAGTTCAGTTACTATACTATCCTATACTACTATACTAAATATAATAAATTACGAGTATAAATAGTATGACTTGGCCACGGGTCTTAAAGTGAAGCCACAAGAAATCATGAAAATGAAAGGGTTGGACCACATATTTTTAGTTTTAGCTTTTATTTAGTTTGATATTCTTAATTAGTTATATTAGTAGGTGTAGTGTATGTCTGAGGTAACTGAATGTTTTGTAAAACAAATGACCCAGAAAACTGAAGATATGAATGAGTTTCAGGTTATGGTACTAATTTTAATTAGGCCTATACTTTACTATACTATAATATAGTACTAAAGTGTATTATTATTAGTTATTAGTATTATTACAGTCTCATATTTACCATATATTCACATTAAAAATTGATAAGTTACATATCACATGAAATAGTTTTTAATAAAATAAAACTAGTAGGCCTAGCCACCAGAGTAAAATTGTTCAGTTCAAAGTTACTGACTTTGAAAGTGACAAATGTTTTTAATAGTCTAGTCCTACAGTGTAGATTTACCAAAACATCTATACTAACTATGAGTTATCCGAATAACCCCTAAAGTGGGCCTTGAGCCTTGAGGTTGACCAAAAAAGGATTCAGAAATAATTTATTAAATAAATCGCCACAAGTTATAAGTCAAGTTGTACTGTATAGTATAATATTAATATTGCATTTTTCTTCCATCCACTTGCCATAGCAGTGTTCAGTTATCTATTAAATATTGCTATATCATCTGAAACACACAGACTCATTATAATTAGTTCAGAAAATTGAAGCTCTTCTGTAAATGTTATATTCATTTTTTTCACTTGGATGATTTAATATCCTCAAAAGTCTGGGAAGTGCAACAATAATGCTAAACTCTAAATAAATTACAATTGGGAGAGTAAGGTTTTAGATAGTTTTTTGAAGATTTGTGAGGATTTTCAAATTTATTGTAAAGTGGCAGCAACAACAAAAACAGATTCATAATTTAATTTTAATTTCAACCATAAATAATTCAAAACAATGACTCTGCCTTAGCTAACTAGACTATGAATAGCAATTAAGCCTACCATTTATCAAAATGAAAAGGGTTGCTCATTCTCTTTAGAAAGAGAGTATTTTTAATGTATTACTTACGTTTTTGTTTCATTGGGAGTTATGAAAAGAATGTCACCTGGAAACTTTATAGTTCAGTACATAATAAACTTATTCCTTTATTTCAGAACTTACCAGAATGTATTCCTAGCTACGGCTGCTATATCTACAAAACAATTCTCAGACCATATTATTGAAAGGAACTTGAACTCAAATTTTGATGATGGAATTAAACATGTGGAACGAAGATTTGCTGCTTGGCAGCGAATGGGACCTGGACTTGTTGACAGACCATCCAAATGGCCAATTCGGTGACCTTAAATTGGGGAGCCGAACTGATGGTGATGATATGTTCAACTTTCAGCCCCAGGATGCTGTGATCGTTAAACACTTTGGGGATCCATCCAAGGATATTGAAAATTTCTTGGGAGATCCTTCAGAAGATGGAGGTATGTTTTGTTAGATCAGTAGCCATCAGCATTTTGTTTTATTTCATCACACACTAAATATAATTTCCAAAAGAAATTTAGAAGAGGGGAAAAATAAAAATCAGCTTTATCAGTAAGGAGCAGAATCAACAAGCTATATATTATCATATTACTATTAAACTTGGGGATTTTCTAAAGGTGCCATCTTACCTCTAATACCCCTTTATTTGTTGGTAAGATGTCCTAAAAGCAAATTTCAAATTTAATTTGTATAGTTTGTATACCGGTATCAAAATATTGCAGCACTGGTTAGGAAATGGGTAAGTTGAAATTTGTGCAGTGCACTCAAATTATCTTTACAGTACTAGTGGTGGTATTATGGCAGCTCTGATACCATTTGCGACATAAAGTTATTGTAATTAAAATGCCATTTTTCATTGTCAAACATGTTTTGCATGCAACTTTTAGATTTGTGACTTTAATGGCTGATAAATTTTAAAAAGTTAAACCCTTATTTAAACTTTTTGGTCCTCAGATATACTAGGAACAGAATGGATGGAATCATCTGATCTTGGTTCCTATCTGGATGCACTGGGCAGTAGCATTGATGCATTGCCACTTGAATCCAGTTTGGACGATTACACATCCTCATTAGAAACTGGAAATGCTTTGATCAAAGAAGAACCAATTTCTCAAAAATATAATTCTTCTATCTCAAAAATATTTGCAGTTTCCAATAAAACACCTATTTCGGATTTCAAAGAAAACTTTCAGGCAATTTTGTCACCACCTGACTCACCAGAGCAGGTTGCTCCTTTCATTCTGCTATCTTCTCATAATCCATCTCCTGGTGAGGCGATTGAGTCATTTCAGAATGTTAGTCTTGACTCATTTAGTTCTTCATTGGATGAAAATGATTCGAGCCTTAACAACACTATCCATGTTTCAAGTATTGCTGGTATAGAGTGCTGTGAGGTGGTCAACTCCTCTCTTTTAATCAGTGATGTTGAAAGCTTGGTTTCAAGTTCAGCACCTTCCTCGCCATTCACTACTTGTAGCATCATAGAGTCAAGTCCAGAGCTATATAAAGTCATATCAGCTTCATCCATTGAGCCAGGCAAAAGATTTTCCCCATATTCTAAAGCTAAACTCAGTAGGAAAGACTCAAATGGTTCTCGCAAGGTGAGGCCCCAAGCACAACCAGTACCAGAGCATGTTATAGAAGAACAGCTGAACAAAAAAGATAGGAAGAAGCTTCAGAATAAAAATGCGGCAATTCGATATCGTCAAAAAAAGAAGAATGAGGCTGTGGGAATCAAATCTGAGGAACAAGTGTTGGAAGAGGAGAACAGCAAATTAAAGGTTAAAGTAGAGGACTTGCAGAGGGAGATCAAATATATGAAAAATCTGATGGAAGATGTTTGTAGAGCTAAAGGTCTACTTTAGGCAAATAAAATAGTCAAATAGTGCATTAATGAACTAGGATTCTAGTTTTTGTTGTCAATGTGATTTTTTTATTTTTTTTTTTTATTTCATTTTGTAAATTGTGAATGACTTAATACAAATATTAAGGACATAACTAAGGGACCATCCATATATTATGTATGTATACACATATTTCTTTTGAAAAGGGGGTGGTTTTGTTGGTTGGACTAGTTGATTGTTCTGCTTTCTGTGGTAGGGTGTTAAATATTGACACTTGAAAGCGTTAGTGTTTTGCTTGCTGTCCGAACCAGTTCGTTTCATTAATACTGGTAAGTCTCAATGAACTTATCTCATCCATAATTTTGGGTTATTTTCTTTTTAGTGTGGCTTGGAATTCACCAATACATTTTCATTATTTTATGTATTTAATTATTCATATTTTTTTATTTTTTTTTTGGCTGCTTTTCCAAAAAATATTAATATAGTGTGATAGTGATATATAAATATATGTTTGGTGTACAGATGCATACTGTATGGGTGGCCTCTGATGTGCTATGTATTTCATGGTCTGCATTAAAAAAAAAAGTGAACAGCCAAACTGGAGTTTATCAATCTTGTTATAAAAATATGATTTTTGTTTCAAATTTGAATTAACTTTTGAATATTGTCACATTTTTTCATTGAGTATATTTTTCTTTTACAACCTTTTTTTGTGTGTGTGTGTTAAAGTTTGATGATTGAAGGGGTCATCCATATTTTGACATGCAAGTGTTGGGCATGTGTCAACAAATTTATGTGGAAACTTATAGACTCTGAATCTTTTTAAGTTGCTGTCATAATTGCAACAAAAATGTTAAATTTTATGATGGTGCTGGGGAGCCCGATGTTTGTCCCTTTACCCCAACTGGGCTTTATCGGGAGTTACTGCAAGACATTTTTTACATGTGTCGTGGATGGCCTGTTCATCAGTTACTTTTTGTATTCCTTTTTAAATCATAATTTTACCTTAGGTTTTTTTACAATCTTTCCCAAATTAAAATGAAAGATTTGTGGCATTGGTAAACAAAAGTTCTTCTTCTAAGGCAGTGGTTCTCAACCTTCCTATTGCCGCGACCCTTTAAGACAGTTTCTCATGTTGTGGCGACCCCCCAAGCCACTCAATTACTTTCATTGCTATGTCGTAGCTATTAGTAAATGTGTCTTAGGCGAACCCTGGGAACAGGTCGTGCGACCTCCAAAGGTTTAAATTGCCAACCCACAGGTTGAGAACCGCTGTTCTAAGGAATATGGAAGTATCTGTTTATTTACACTTACTATTTTATGGGCAAAGAACGTGACAACACCCTCCAATGTTTATTTGACAAAGATAAATAAATAACGTGCCATATTCTCAGTTGGAAATTTTTTGCCTTTTTTAATGGTCTAATTGAAGGGTTGGCAATCTTTTGGTAATAAGCCTGCCAAAGTAAGACTTCTAAATCATTCAGTGTGCTAATAACTAACTCTACCATTTAAGACACATTTTTTAAGTCATTTAAAATTAATTTTTTGGTCTTGTGTGCCAAAGTAAAATCTTGCAAGAAATATCCCTGCTCTAATTCATAGGATTTACTACTTTCTAGTAATCTACATAAGAAGCCTATCACAATTTCAGCACTTGGCACATTATTTTATGGTGCGGTAATTTTTCTATGGATGCTTGATAAAGTTTTGTTGTCTGTAAAGTTTCCACAATTATGTGAAGAGGGACATTTTAATTTTTGGCGAATTTGAACATTTGATTAAAAGAAAATAACATGCTCTCCCTTCCCATTTTTGTACATATGTGTCATTAGTGTCAATAGGCTCTTCAGTAAAATTATTTTAATATACATTTAAAAGAATAATTTTGTGGTCGTTGGAAGTAGATTTTACATGTCTGTCTTTGTATACTTCTGTGTAAGAGATAATTATAGTATAGTACTGTATGAATAGTACAATAATATTAATAACAAATAAAAAGGAATTTTCATAACAAAACATGTATTGTTGTTTTTTTTTACTATTAAGAGATTTATGAGCTTTTGGTGCACAGGTAATAACATATGTGGGCTTTATTATTACTATTACCATACAAAAAAAATTAATGCTGGCCGCTGCACTGCCTTGGATTCTCAAATGATGGTTGTGTGGACAAGGACATAGATATATTTTTCATGAAATAAAACATATAGGCTAAGTTTTAAGCATAGTTTATTTTCAAATAAAATGCTGGGCCTATTTTCTTCTTTGAAAAATCCTAATCCATTTTGCACGAGATTAAAATTGAAGAGAAAAAATAATATAAACCGGGTATATATTCCTTGTGTTAGGAATGTTTCCATTAATCATGGTTATTTAAATTTAGGGTACCGGTATAAAGGGTCATTCATATAGTATTTAATGCACGTACAAATAACGCAATAAAAGTACCGGGTGTTAGTCAAAATTTTGAACCCCCGTAGTTTTTGGACAAACACCCACCCCCTTTTACGAGCTCTCGCCTACACCCCACTCTTTATATAAAGGAAAATAAATGTAATCAAGTGACTTTAACCAGTAATTCTCAATTGTGGCGTAAGCCTCACGGGGAGGCATTTGAAGATGTTTAGGTAGACACGAAACTCTCGTGGCGCTGGAGGGAAGTGGGTTTTTAAAGTTTCACAACGACGAGCTGGGGCTTAATGTTTAAACGGGTTGTTTTGTTTTTAAATTGCCAACTACCTTAGTCGTTATCATATACCGGGTATTGAAATAAAAGTATACATCTTTAATGTTACTGTTTTATCTTGAGGCCTAAAAATTTATTTAAAGGCAGCAAAATTGAAAATCATTCTACTTTACCGCACAGCAACCGCTTCCCTCCCCCCCCCCCCGAATTTTTTTTTTTTTTTGTTAAGTGGGGGGACGAGGTTAAACGTCTGAGAAGCACTGCCTGACTGAATGCCTGATAAATTTGTCACAAATTACGTAACACCCACGGTGGACTTAAGTAAGTTACTATATTAATTAATTTTAAAAAAATATATAGCCTATTGGATAAGAATTAAAAATCACGGATTTCACAGATTTTTTAGATGACAGTACAGCTAGCTTTCTTAGAGAATTTAAGAATAATATTTGTAGAATTTGTGGATATATTTACTTCATTCCGATACACCCCCCCCCCTTTTACACATTACAGAACTGGTATGCAAAAACTCCAAAATCAACAACCCCCTTCCTCGGTGCGTACTGTAATATATGGCCTCAGTGTGTACTGTAATATATGGATACCCCCAATTGCATCTTGAAAAAAAATAAATAAGCTTTTAACTTTTTTGGCATAGCTTGTTTAAAATTTTAATTAATTAAATTTTTTTTTTAAAGGATTATATAAATTCTAACTTCAAACATACAACTAGACTAATTCAAAGTAAAATGACTTTATTATAAAAAAAAATGTAAAAATTACAATACACATCGCTTGGAGATGAGTCATTAACTGCACAAAATGAAAAGCTCGGCAGATTTGCTCCTGGGCTCAAAACTCGATGTCTTCCGTAACTGTCGTAATGGACCTAGCTTCTATTTTTTTTTGGTCAGGAACTGAAACCAGTTGACGTTGTTGTTACTGCAATTCAATCTCTTTTTTCACTCCCGTGTTTCGCTGATATCATCAGTGATAAGAGTGGGGTATTGGTTGGTTGGGCAGATAGAATGCACTCTTGCCTGGAATTTTTGTTGTAGTTGCCATAAGATTAACAAACAAAATTAGTTGCGACGGGCTGGTCAAATAACGCTGGCCGCTAAGTAACGAGTTCTTCCTATAGTGATAAACTAACAATTTCCTATTATTCCCAATTTGTAAAGCCAATGTTTAACTTTAAAAAAAATATAAAAAATCTCTCATCTGGAATTCATTTGTACACAATCTGAGATCTGCTTTAAAAATAATTCCGAGCCTTAACTAGACTAAATCAACTTTAAAATGTTGTTAAACGCCCGCAACATGAATTATTTCAGAAAGTCATCTAACTGTACCCCTCACTTTTAAAAAAAAAATCTCTCTTATTAATTGTAATTGTGGTTGCCATTTGCCAAAAGGGCCTACATGTACATTTTTTTTGGCCAATACTTGTAAATTTTCTTTCGTGAAAATTTTACATGTAGGCCTACTCATTTAATAAAAGTTATAAAAATCATCTAGATCTATCATATTCTCGATTTCCTCATCTGAACGTTGCACAACTTCCTGCAACTCCGATAATATTGAATTTCCTTCCCAGTCTTCGGTACTATAATCTTTATCCAAAGAATCCTCTGATTCGTGCCCACTATCATTTGATCGCTGTGTTGATGGTGTTGACACTTTGCCGACATCTTGAAAACGATGATGTGCTGGAGAGTGGCCGCCGTTTGACACTGATGTGCATGTACTTGTAGGAGTTGATGGTGAAAGAATTTGAGGACAACTGATTTCAGACGTGGTTGGCGGCGATAGAAGTGGAAGGCTGCAGGAAGCGGGTATTGGTAGGCCGATATTACAAATCTGGGATGACTCCCACTTGGATGCAGGCTGGGAATAGCTGATGTTGTCCAAATCAGTTGCTGTGGCTACTTGTTGTAGACCTTGATAGTCAACATTAGAAACGGTGTTAGGGGGCATGGGTAGGCCTACAATAGTGGAGCTGCTGTGAGAAGTTTCTATGTTTTCAGTATTTACAACATTGTTGTTGTTAGTCATGTTAGCACTAACCGTGCGTCGTTTGTGTGTGGAATTCTTACAAGCCATTTCTGAGACACTTATTTCCAATTTTCGTTTTGTAACTGTGACGCTCTTTTCATGTTTCAGTTCTACACTGTTAAGAATAGGCGCTAGGACAACGATGTTATTGTTTTGGGGATTATATGTAACATGTCCTGCTTCCGCGGGAATAAAATATAACAATGCATTATTAGCGTGCACTGTAGTCTGTGCATTATAAGGTAGACTACTACTATTATTGCTTTGGTCAACTGAGTCTTTGGGTAATAACATAGGCTTAGAGTTATTCGATATGTAGCTATTTTCGTTTCGCTTGCTAATATTTGTTTTACATTCTTTAAATACTAGCAGAAGTCTGTTTTCAGTGTCGAGTGTATCTTGACAAGCCTCGGAGGGAGGATTTAGATGGCGCAAACTTTCAATAGTTTTGAAGATATTTTGAACATACGGTATTTCTGAAAAATTGTGTTTTTCATACAATCTTAAGATGGTTTGCTGGTCTTCTGGAATACATTTGCGTGAAACGTTTTGTTTAAGAAAATTAAACTTTTCTTCTAATTCAGCCACTGTGTCCTTTGGAGTAGATGTTGGATTTTTCCATTTCAAGTGAGCAGGCCAGTAGGGAGGAGGCTCCATTTTCCAGATTAGTTCCTGACCATTGGTTTTACCGACCAACAGCCTCGACAGTTCACGTACTTCATATTGTAAAAAGTCTTTTTTATTAAATGTTTTATCCGCCATTTTGTCTGACATGACAGCGATGCAATCTGTCATGCAGGTGACCAAAAAGGCTTGATAAAAAATAGGGTATGTCGCTTTGATTGATAAGTCGCGTATGGAAATCGCTTGTGGTAAACCTTCGTCTGCATCGGCCAGCCATTCTGAGAGTTCTTTGACACTTAGGCCTTCTGACATCATCAAGCCAACACTGGAGCCAGCCACTCTTCTTATCGCATCCGTTCCTTCAGCAAATACCGTGTCAGTGACGTGAGCCCATTTCATTACCCACGAACGCTGTCGTTTGCTGTTGACTTTTGCTTCCATCTTCAACTTTTGACTGACCGCTGGTTTCAAATCATCTCAAATCCTCATTTTTGCATCATAAACGAGTATTTGGGATTCATTGAAGTCTGGCTCTCTCTTTATTTCATAGGTTAAAGTGTCAAAAAATCCCAGATGGCTTGTGGATGACGTATGGCCAGGGATTCTGGGGACAGATTAAATATAATATTTAACCTTATCATGTAATGAGGTTGTCTTAACAGCGAGGTTGTCTTTAAACAGTCATGTTTTGTATATGTTTTAGTAAATTCCATGATACAACAAAATGAACTTGTTTAAATTTTTTCTTTCAAGTTTCAAAGAAATAAAATATAATATATTTTTAAATTAACAATTATAAATTGAAAATGTTATTGTGTGGTAAGTGGTTCAATACTGGACTGTCATTCACCGAGAATACGAGGTCAAGGGGTAAATAACCTAGATCTAACACAAATTCTTGTATTCCTCGGGTGAAGCCAAAAGACACTACGCGTGTGAACATATGGCCTACTTACATTTTTTTGCGAACATTTGTCCTTTCTCACCATTTTATTTACCGGGAAAGCTAACATTACCAGTACTTCACAAATCTACGCTTTTAAAATTCGAAACGTATAATGAGCATAACTTTTTCCAAAAATTTATAAGTTTAATTTCTGTGTTCAGACACAGGCTATCAAATTTAAAATTTTAAAAAAAAATAAATAAATTAAAAATATATTTGTATCTTTGGAACCAAACTTTATCTCAGAAAGAATTTTTTCTAGTTTTTTTTTATTTTTTATTTCTTCCTTTTTTTACCCTTCGAGATCCAAGGCCATAGCCATCTTTTTTGTTTATAATGTGTCATTGGGAAAGGCCATTTTTCTCAGGATTCTGTGAACAAATGAAGAAAAAATAATTTTGTAAAACAAAGAAGCTGCTATAATAAAATTCAGTTTCTCGCCTATCTAATAATGCAGGCCTATAAGTGTAAAATGTATATATATTACTTAGCAAATAAACGAAAAGGTGTTTTCAGAATTTATATTTGATTGCCATGAAAAGGAAATTAAATTGCCTAGACCGGATACTATCAAATTTCAACTGAAGCAAACAACCCAAAGTGTGGCAAAAGAAAAGTCACGAGACATAAACTTACAACCTGTTGCCAATACAAATTTTAATGTTTCAGCTCTAGAGAAGTACTTTTTTTTTTTTTACTGGAATGTTTTTTGGTGGTTTTTTTTTGGTTTTTTAAATTATTTTTTTTACTTGTTCTAAAAAAAGTATAGGCCAATTGGTTGTTTTTTTTTGGTTTTTTAAATTATTTTTTTTACATGTTCTAAAAAGAGTATAGGCCACTAAAAATGAAAATATTTTTATAATTTATATTACAACAATTTTTGATTAACTGCCCCCCCCCCCCACTTTTTTTTCTTCAATCCTACGTCTTAAAATGTATTTTTTCATCCTCATCCTCTTAAAGTAAAATATATAAAGACAATTCAAGCAATCTTTTAGTAACAAAAACACATAAATGTGCCCCAAAGAATCAGAAATGAAATAACAACCGTTCATTAATTAAGCACACGGATAAAAAAAATAACCCCCAAGTTGCCCCCCCCCCCTCATGTCATTACCATATTGATTTAAATGTCACATTTACATCTGCACAACACATGTACATAAAAACCAGGGTTGGTCAAACTATTTGTGTAGATGTTCTAACAATCTAGAGTTTTAGTTTTAATGAAAGGATTGCTTCAAAAATTCACACCGGCTTTATTTCAGAAAGAGGCAGTGGAATATTAACGATCAAAGCCCTTCATGCAAAATGTATGCAACTCCCTGATATTTTACATTTTACTTGTCATTCTATTTATCCATGCAGTCATCAAAAGACGACAGTCTCTCAAAATACTCATTCCCCACAACTATGGGAGGGGGGGGGGAAGCTGTCCGCCTCTGCTATAACTTGTGATGTATGAAGATACTCATAAGTAAGCCTACTGTCTAAAATAATTAACATCAATACAAGTATTTTAAACATCAAGTCAAGCAACCCCCCCCCCCCNGGGGGGGGGGGGGGGAAGCTGTCCGCCTCTGCTATAACTTGTGATGTATGAAGATACTCATAAGTAAGCCTACTGTCTAAAATAATTAACATCAATACAAGTATTTTAAACATCAAGTCAAGCAACCCCCCCCCCCCACCCCAACCCACCCAAGAATTTTGGATCCCTTGACAGGGAGGGCCCCTAAAAGACACTGGGGCCTAGGAGGGTGCCTCATTTGCCTTTAGGTTAATCCGGCACTGCTTTCACAACACCGGCATAAACAGGTGATCCTGTAACTTTTATTTGAAATGAAGGTGAACATTAATTTCAGAGTAATTTTTAAGTAACCAAACTCAGCCGTCTAGTGAGTGGCCAGATTTATCAAGTTGATAATACCACTTTCGAAACTGAAACCATCCGTGATTCTTTTAAAATACGTAGAGAAAAATTCTAGCTTTTACTTTCAGTTTCCTAGAATTACAAACACACACAGGCACATACACACACTCAGGCACACTAATACCATCAGCTTTATTTATGGAATGAGCTTTGGAAATTGTTTGTAGTTATTTATAATTGATAACAAGACGTGTAGAGGCCATAACCTTAAACATTTTTAAAAAATTCATTATTAATAACTATGAAATGAAGGTAACATTTTTGAAACGAATAATTTCGGCAGATATTCGCGTTGTTATTTGATGGGACACAATAATCAGACCATACATAAACATCAACGAGCTGGCTGATGTATCAACACATATTACAAAATTAATAACATTAGGCCTACTATTTATAATCATCCGTAACCTAAAGCATTTGTCGATATAATAAAAAAAACAAAAACCTCCAAAAACAACAGCTCTATTTGGCTAAGAACAACAATGGCAAAAAAACAAAAACATATTTAGACTTAATCAGATAATGAAACTAAAGTCTTCAATTAGCCAAGTCATTTATCATTCGAATTTCAACACCGGATAGCAATTAGCCTCTAGCCCAGTGCTTTCTAAACTTACCATGTCGATGACGGACTTTTTAGGCACATATCTAGTCGCTTTTACCATTAGCCTAAACCGGGGGCCGGGGGTTGAACTAACGTATTTTGAAGATGTGAGGACACAGACTTACAGTGTAATAATGCAATGAAAGACCCCCCATGTCAGGAAAACCTTTTTATCTTTATTTTGGATGCGATTTTTTTAAAACGCCAATATAAAAGTTTAATCACGTCGACGTCATTTATAAAGATTTCAAATATTTTTTTTTTTTTAAATTTCAGCTTCTTCTCCGTTTTGAGTAAGTGAAATTTTCATCACTTAGTTTAAAATAAATGAATTCCTCATCCAATCATAGTAGGGATTTTAGCAAATGGGAAACGATGATGAACTTTCTCTTGGTGCAGTGTCGAATGGTTCCCTATGAGCGAGCTATAGGGCCTATCACATTTAAGCTCACACTCAGGGGTTGTGGGAATACTTTTACAAACGTTCTTCTTTTAATTTCCAAATGACAAGCGTGTCACCCAATCCTATAAATAGTGCAACCCAATCCCAAGATCGTGTCACCCAATCCTATAGGGGTTTGTCCATTAATTATGTCAACAAAATAGGGGGAAGGGGGTTTGGAAATGTTTGACAATTGTTGACCAGGGGGAGGGGGGGGGAGTTTAGATTTAGTTGACGTCAACAAATATGGTTTCTATATTAAAATTTTAATCTTAAAAATTGACTGATTATTACTTTATTTTAACAAATTTAATGACTGTGAATTAAAATAGTTGTATAATTTTTAAGCTTTTAACAGTATAAGATTGATTAATGTGTATCTATCTGTCTGCGCACTGCTAATGGCTGGTCAGAATGTAAGTGTAAGAACATTTTGTTTGTTTAGGGCAAGAGAAGTCAATAGTTGGCCCCTCTTCGCCTGTAGATTCTATTTGTCGCAAATGACTAGGGCGGTATGTTTGCGATCATGTTGCAGGTATGGAACAAGGACAAGAAACCTGTTGCGTCAAGATAAATGATTACATTGATAGAGTAGGAATACGATATTTTGAGAATTAGGGGAAAGTAAAATGATTAACTATAAAAACATCGCTGCTTGAACGGATTTGCAAGATCTGTAACATCTACTTTGCATCACAAGTCATGTTGAAATAGCATGTTCAACAGTGCCTAGCTGCCAGGAGATAGTGAGAGCTTATGGCATTATTGCTCACACAGACAATGCACCTATTTTAAGTGCTGAATAGTTGGATGAGAATATGTTGATTTGTCTGGTATGTCAGTTCCGCAAGATGAAAATGATAAATCTGCTACTATGTCCATTGTTACGATAGAGCAACACCTGGCTACTCCCTGGGAAGATAATAGCAGCCAGAAATCATGCTACAATTATAAGCTACACTAACAATAATCATATTTATACTTCCACAAACAATGATAATTAATCTTTAACAACCTTTTAATTGATTCTGCATTATACAATTAAAGTGTAAAAACTTTTTAACTTGTTTATTAACAAGCAAAGATGCAATAACATGTTTTCCCTACTATTTTGTGTTATTAAAATAGATCAGCACAAAGTAAAATGTATTTAAATATTTATTTATATAATAATTCAGTGGGGGGGGGGGGGGTGGGGGTATCAAAATGCTGACATCATAAATTGGGGGGGGGGGCAAAAATGTATTTAAATATTTATTTATATAATAATTCAGTGGGGGGGGGGGAGTGGGGGTATCAAAATGCTGACATCATTAATTGGGGGGGGGGGCACTGAAAGTTTGACAGTTGTTGACAAGGGTACATGGGGGTCGAAAATAGCTTAAAAATTGTAGACGTAATTAATGGATGGCCTCTAGATCGTGTCACCCATTCCTATAAATATTGTCACCCCAATCCTATAGATATTGTCACCCAATCCTACAGATTGTGTCACT